CAGAAAGTCTGCTCTCTGCTCAATAGTGGTTTATTTAAGCCACCATGATAGCCTGACATGAGGCCACCTTGGAGGAGAGGGCAGACTCGTGTGTAAGACCCAGTTCCTGGGTCTCTGTTCCCACAAAGACCCTTCGTCCTGAGATCGTGGCATCAAGGTCCATTTGCCCCTTGTAGAGTTTTAAAAGACTTTCTAGTCTCGTTTTTTAAGGATTGCTTTTAACTGCTTGTTACTGGTTTCAAAGGTATGTTTTTGAAGGGATTTTATTGTGCTTATGATTTTAGTATGTTTAAGTTTGACATTAGCATTTATTTTACATATAGTAACCATTTTATATTGATACATAGTGTTATCATGTAATCATTGTTTTGTTATTTTGTAATCATTATTTTGTAGTTAATTGCTTGATCAGATGCTTTATATATATATATTGGAAAAGTAAGGGCTTCATGCTTTAGGTAGAGGTGATTGCTTACATGAAAAGAGCACAGTAAGGGGAGGGGGGAAAGGAGCTACGGATGGAGCCTGGTTGCTGTGTATGAGTCATCATCTAGGAATTATTTTTTTGTGCCATCTTATGCCTGGTACCAAGACCTGATCTTTTTGTTCTGGAAAGGTATAAAAGGTGGAAGACATCTTTTCTGGTTGTTGCCTTCGTCTCTCTACCAGCCACGAAGAGAGATGGGGGTCACCCAACTCTGTTTTGATCAAAATAAAAGTTGTTTGCTTGCTGAAACCTCGACTCAGGAGTTTCTTTGGCTCTTTTAAATTCCTGAGTAATGCTGGGGCAGTTGTGAGGCTAAGTGGAAAACCTTACATTTTCTTTATGCTTTTTTCATTTGTGTTGAAAATTAATGTTCCTTGAATGACATAAAATAAACAGAGTAAATGTGATAGATGGAAAAGTAGTGCAGTTCTTTTTGAGAGACATGCCACACAGAATTTCTCTGCCCTCTTCTGCAGCTGCCCTGTGCGACATTGGCGGTCAAGGCAACCGGAAGCATTTTCTAGAGTTACAGAACTGTGGCTGTTCTCAAGTAATAGGTGAATAGCCCCTCTATCCCTTCCGTAAAAGCAGGCAAGTGCTGGGGAGGTGTAAAATAGCCGCACCAGACAGACCAAGCAGAGAATCAACTCCTCAAGAAGATTAAGGCTATTTTTATTGAGAGTGGCCCTAATAATAGAATCTTGCAAGAATGATTGTACCATACCTCGTCCTCCTTTAATACTCTTGTTAAGTCCTGGGAATAATGGCGCTTGAGACGATTCATCTTCAACAAGTCTTTATTGTTTGCTCCACTCTCGAACAACCAGAGCAGAGGCACGCAGGCCTCTATTTATACCCTCTGATCCCCGGGCAAGTTCAGCCAATCATGAGACGGGCTTTTCCCGCCTTGCGCATGCGCACAAGGCTGGCGCCGCTCAGTCTGGTCCCGGGCAGCTTCTGCAAATGCCCGGGACTCTTGCAACGTCCCGAGCCTGCATCTTGCAGGCTCAGGACACAACAACTCTGCTGTTGAATATGATCAGGAATATGGAACTCGGGGCAAAGAGATCCCGAAGCTTGGAATGTCTGGTAGATAGGAAGAGAGTAAGGATGGATCCTTCTGAGCAATTAAACAGATAATTGGTTTAGGTTGGCACAATTCTGTCTGTAGGCAAACAATAATAAAACTAAATTACTCAGAGGTCACGCCACATGTCAATCTTGGTTCTTTGAGCCTGATGGGGAAATTAGGGAGGAGGTCTGTCCTAGCTTTTCTCAATTTTTTTTCTGTCTGCTGTTGACTTCATATGTTTCACCCCTCTTTGCTTTGGTAGCAGATCTTTCGTATCTCCCTTCCTCACTCTCTCCAGAAACGGACTGTGCCTCCTTAAAAAACAATCTAGTTTCCTCCAGATATGTGGGACTTCAGCTTCTAGCACTTTGCCTGGGAATTTTGGGAGTTGAATCCAAGTAATGTGGGAAGTTGAATAAAGCTCTTGCTTGCCATGGCAAAGTTTCCATGTTCTCCAGGTCTAGTGTTAGTACTGCTTTATTCTGCCTTGGTCAGACCACACTGGGAATCCTGCATCCAGTTTTGGTGGTCACAATATAAAAAAGATCTTGAAGAGTGCAGAGAAGAGCAACAATGATGATTAGGGGGCTGGAGGCTAAACCGTTTGATGAATGGGTAAGGGAACTAGATAGAGTAGCCTAACCAGGGCTTTTTTTTTATCATAGAACGCCCAGAACGGAGTTCCAGCACCGTTTTTGGATGGAACCTTGTAGGGTAGGCAAGGCGGGTTGTATGACGTGTGTGAGTTCTGGCACCTTTTTTTTTTTAGAAAAAAAGCACTGAGCCTAACAAAGAAAAGGACTAGAGGTGACATGATAGCAGTGTTCCAATATCTCAGGGGCTGCCACAAAGACGAGGGGGGGTCAACCTATTCTCCAAAGCACCAGAAGGCAGAACAAGAAGTAACAGATGAAACGGAAGAAAAAGACATCTGACCTAGAACTAAGGAGAAATTTCCTGATGGTTCGAACAATAATCAGTGGAATGGCTTGTCTCCAGAAGTTGTGGGTGTTCCATCACTAGAGTTTTTCAAAAAGAGACTGGACAACCATTTGTCTGAAATAGTATAGAGTCCCCTGCTTGAGCAGGAGGTTGGACTTGAAGACCTCCAAGGTCCCTTCCAACTTCTTATTCTGTTCTGTGCTGTGCTGTGCTGTTGTGTTCTATTCTATTCTATTCTATTCTATTCCCTCATGGTAACGGTGTGTTCTCGCAATGCAGGTCTTCCTCCAGTCTACATCATCGCCCTGGTGAGAAAGGCTAACCATCAAGTAAACCGGTACACCTTGAGGGGAAAGCGCTCCTGCCACAGCCACGTGTACAGCCCAGGAGGGTGGCTGCTGCTTTCACAGTACACCGTCGGGGCCCCGGAGAATGGCAGCTCCAGCTGCAACCTCACCTCTGGTAAGCACTCCCGTCTGCCTAGTGAAGAGCTTGGTTCACGAAGAGACCTGGGCTGCTCTTCGTTTTGGGTAGGAATAAGATATTTTGAAGGTGCCAGGATGGGGGTAGAAGGGTTCACGAACCCCAATAGGCACAGTAGGAGCTCAAGGAGGCAGCACCTGTTCCTTCACTCTTGTTCTCCAGCTGCTGCTCGGCAGAGGTTATGCTGCCTGCAAACCGAGGGGCATTGAGTACTTACCCAAATAGTAGCAATGGTACTTTTCTGTACACTGCCTCCCATCTCTCCCTGATTTTGCACTGTAACCAGAACACTGGAGAAAGGCCCCTTTACCAATATTCCAAGAAACCATTTTTTTTACTTGGCAGTGCTACCCACATTGGCTGGCTGGTTTGTCTATGTGCAGTGAGTGCAGTAAATGAAAAACCAGTCGCATAATTCCGCTGAGTAACCGCTGCCCTTTCTCCTTCTCAAAGCATACCAGAATTTTTTTTGGAAAGGCTGCATGCCAGGAGCCAGTGGAAATCTGTGCAAAGTGTGCATTGGACAAGAGGGGAGAGGCAAGGGGTCTTCCAGGTGTGCAGCTAATCATCATGAACGGTACTATGGCAATCTGGGGGCCCTCAGGTGAGTCACCCTGGAGAAAAAGTTTCACTTCTTAGTAAAATGTTACTACGAAGCCATGCCTTAAGGGCTAGGGGGTCTCCTGACTTTGGGACTTGTGATTTTGTCTGGGGTTTTCAAAATTCATTTGTATATAAGCACAAGGAGAGGCACTTTGGCACATAGTGATTTAAAGTACCAGCCTAGGAACCAGGAGACTGTGAATTCTAGTCCTGCTTTAGTACAAAGCCTGCTGGATGACCTCGGGACATCCCCTGTCTCTCAGCCCTGGGAAGGCAAGGGAAAACCACTTCCAAAAACCTTGCTGAGAAATTTGCAGGGATTAGTCCAGGAAATTGCCAAGCGGAATGGGACAACCGGCGATGGCCAAATTACTGCAGGACAATTTAACAAATAAAAAAGTTAAATTAATTTAAATGGAACCGTGGCCAATAATAATAAAATAAATAAAGTCAATTCAGAAATACAAGAGTTACAAATAATTTTGATGAAAACGTGGTCATCAGTAATAAAAGTAACTGAATGAAGCAATTAATACAATGTTGAATTGTCCCACGGCAAATTGTCCTACATTTTGTTCTACATTTAGGCAAGAAAGACCAAATGCACAGGTACAGTATAGGTAGTAACCGTGAGAGGGATCTTAAATATGAGCCAGCCGTGTGCTGCAGCTGCCAAAAAAGCCAACACAGCCCTAGGCTGCATTAACAGAGGGATAGAATCAATATCACGTGAAGTTGTCGGCCGTGACCAGGGGGGCGTTTTATCAGGTACGCCTGATACACCAGTTGCGACCTTTTCTGGACCGGGACGCCTTGCGCACAGTCACCCATGCCCTCGTCACCTCCCGCCTGGACTACTGTAACGCTCTCTACATGGGGCTTCCCTTGAGGAGCACCCGGAGGCTTCAACTGGTCCAGAATGCGGCCGCGCGGGCGGTGTTGGGAGGGACTCGTCGCTCCCATGTAACACCGCTGCTGCGCGAGCTGCACTGGTTGCCGGTGGCCTTCCGGGTGCGCTTCAAGGTGTTGGTCATCATCTTCAAAGCGCTCCATGGCATCGGACCGGGATATCTCCGAGACCGCCTTCTGCCGCAGATTACCTCCCATCGGCCGGTACGCTCCCACAGAGTGGGTCTCCTCAGGGTGCCGTCAGCCAGACAGTGCCGGCTGGCGACTTCCAGGGGGAGGGCCTTCTCGGTGGGAGCTCCCACCCTCTGGAACGAACTACCCCCAGAGATCCGGGTGATCCCGGATCTCCCCTCCTTCCGCCGCGCCCTAAAGACATGGCTCTTGGTTGTTCGCCCTAACCGGATCCCTTAAAAATCACCCCAAAATTCACTTTAAAATTAATATATCCGGTATCACTTATAAAGAAAAATTAAACCAAAATTTAATCATAAATAACTAGTATCTGTTTTATAAGGCTGTCAGCCGCCCTGAGTCCGGTAAGGAGAAGGGCGGGATAAAAATTGAATAAAATAAATAAATAAAATAAAAACAAAGTGTTAATGTCACTTTATAAGGCCTTGGTAAGGCCATACTTGGAATACTACTGCATCCAGTTTTGGTCACCGCGATGTAAAAAAGATGTTGAGACTCTAAGGAGAGTGCAGAGAAGTGTAACAAAGATGACCAGGGGATTAGAGGCTAAAACATATAAAGAATGATTGCTGGGATTAGGTATGTCTAATTTAATGAAGAACGAGGGGTGACATGATGGCACTGTTCCAATATCTGAGGGGCTGCCAGAAAGAAGAGGGGGTCAACCTATTCTCCAAAGCACCTGAAGGCAGGACAAGGATGGAAACTAACCAAAGAGAGAAGCAACCTACAACTAAGGAAAAATGTCCTGACAGAACAATTAATTGGTAGAACAACTCGCCTTCAGAAGTTGTGAATACTCCAACACTGGAAGTTTTTAAGAAGAGATTGGACACCCATTTGTTAGAAATGGTATAGGGTTTCCTGCCTGAGCAGGTTGGACTAGAAGACCTCCAAGGTTCCTTCCAACTCTGTTATTCTGTTCTGTCCCATGGCGAGCTGGCCATGGCGATTTGTCCTAGACCCTTGCCAAGAGTCAACACTGACTTAAAGACACACACACACGAACAGAGAGAGCGAGAGCGAGAGCGTGCACCATATGTAGGCACAAGCTGGCTGTTATATCTTTCTCACACACACATGTATAAGAAAAAGGAAGAAGGGCTGACAGAGAAAGCTGATCATATTTGCTCCCTCTAAATTAGGTTAAAATCATGTGACCAGTAAACAGTGAATTTCAACATATTTTTGAAACTTCTGATGCTAATTAAAAGATACAGAACTGGAAGTTGGCTGCTGGATACAGGAAGAGTAATATATGATGGAAATAAATAATGTACATGAATAAATGGAATCCTTAGAAACCAAAGTAAGAAGGATGTATGATATCTTCATAGTTATTTAATGTATTTATGGACAATTGCATGGAGAGTCCCTGCAGTGATACTGGAAATAAGTTGATCGGGGATGTAAATTTCCAGCTACTCTAGTATGCAGAGAATGCTGCCTTTTTGGTGAAAACCCAAATTATTTACAGCAAATTTTAGATTCCCTGATGCTGTGAAGAGAATTGATCTGAAAATGAATAAATCAAAGACCAAGGCAGTTCTATACAAAGGAAATACTGTATACATAATTATACATAAATTGTGAAAATCTAGAGCAAGTAGATGAAGTTAGGTACCTTGGGGAAGATGGGGAAATGGATGGAAAAAATTTTAAATTGTACAAATACTACTAATTTTAAATAATGCAACAAATGAATGTCAAAATAAATATGTGTGTGTGTGAGAGAGAGAGAGAGTGTGCTTCTGCTCATTTTCTTATCTCCAAATAAGAGTTGGATATATCAGAAGAAACACCAATGGAAGGAGGTGAAGGGGGATATTCAGGAAGTAAGTGGGTTAAAATAGAATCATACCTGATAGTGGACTTAATCGAGACGTAGGTTTAATAGGAAAGAAATACATTTGAGGTAATTTGGTCATATAGAGAGAAGGAATGACAACCAAAAGCAAAGCAATTACCTACAATTACCTTATTAAGGGTTGAACGGAAGGAAAGGATGAAAATGTTGTGATTGGATGGAGTTGATGAGATCCTCCAGAAGAGAGAGGTGAGAGGTTTCAAGGCAAAAGTAGTTTATAAATGTGGTAGATATAGAGAATGGTGATGGATATTCAGTGCCATGATGACGATGATGGAAGATAGCAGTATTCCAGTATTTGAGAGGCTGCCACAAAGAAGAAGAGGGTCACCCTATTCCTCCAAAGCCCTTGAAGGCAGGACAAGAAACAATGGATGGAAACTAATCAAGGAGAGAAGCAATCTGGAATTAAGGAGAAACTTCCTGACAGTGAGGTCAATTAATCAGTGGAACAGAAGTTGCCTCCAGAAGTTGTGTGCGCTCCATCACTGGAGGCTTTTAAGAAGAGATTGGACAGACACTTGTCCAAAATAGTGTAGGATCTTCTGCTGGAAAGCAAGCTTGGAGTGAGAAGACCTCCAAGATCCAACAACAGTTGGATGAACAACAGTTCATTTAGTGGCCATTCAAAGTTACAACGGCATTGAAAAAAGTGACTTATGATCATCTTTCATACTTATGATGATTGCAGCATCCCTGTGGTCACGTGATCAAAATTCAGATGCTTGGCAACTGACTCACATTTATGACGGTCGCAGCATGCGGGGGGGTCATCTGATTTCCCTTTGCGATCTTTTGACAAGCAAAGCCAGTGGCGAAGCCAGATTCACTTAACAACTTAAAAACTGTAGAAAGAAAGGTCGTAAAATGGGGCAAAATTCATTTAATAAATATCTTGCTTAACAACAAAAATTTGGTCGTACGTTGAGGACTACCTGCAGTGGTATATCCTGTTATTTCTTTATTTCAGGCCTTTGGTTTCTTTTGGCTAATATTTTTTATTTTTCCTAACTCTATCACCTGCTCCTCTCCTTGTCTTTTCCATTCCGTTAAAGCCTCTTTGACTCTTAAACCTACGGAAAGTGAAGCCGCAGCCTCCGGGTTGCAGGGTTCCAGCAGCTTCAAAGTCAAATCTCGCTCACAATAATCTCGATATAAGACTGGACTGGAAGGCAGGAGTTTCAGACTAAATTCTTTTTAATTGGCTAAAAGCTATAATAAAATTGCTGCTTGGGCTCACTCTTCCTTTATCTTCCAGATGCCTCTTGGGTGATCCCGCTGGGAGAAGCTTCGGTGATGTGGCTCTCTTGGAACATCATAACCTACTTCAGAACATTGACTGTAAGATATTTTGTATTATCTTTTCAGATTTTGGTAAATTGCCACATGATAATTTTCAGGTTAAATTTCCTCCAAACCTTGGCAACTTTAGGACTTGTGAACTTCACTTCCCAGAATTCCCCAATCAGCTCTATCAACATTTTTAATTATAGATGCCCAACTGGAAGAATTGAGGCAGGGGAGAAGCTACAGCCTGCCTTCCCCCACCTCACCTTTCCCAATGAGCTAATTATAACTCAATAGGGGAGAACCCTACTAAGAGATCTGGGCTGGTCTTTTACTGTGGAGCCCCTGGACATATAGCCAGTAAGAACACCAGGGATGGTCCCAGCAAGAAGATGCAGCACTTGTAAATCAACAAGCACAAAGCCAGCAAATATCCAGCTAGATGGGGAGACGTTGGCTTAGAATGAATCCTGCCAAGAGTAGCTGCCGACTCAGAAACTGACGGAGTCCAGAGAGAATCTGCCTTTAACTCTGGATGGCATTTCCCTCCATGGAGCTGGTCTGTAGTTTGAGGGTCTTCCTGGATTCACCGTTTCTGCTTTTTTTTCACACCTGCTTTTCAAACCTCCATTGGTTTTGGGTTAGGACCCCTTTCTGTCCTCAGCCCTTCAAGTTCAACGCTCAGAAAATCAGCAATGATCATATCCTTATTTGGTGAGATTTGCAGAAAACGTTGTGATGCTAAATAGTTCAAGTCGGTTACTTTGTTCCTTGCAGACCTGAATAGCTCAGGATGGGCCACCGGCTACACTCCCAGGGATTTTGAACTCCTTTGCCCAGACGGGAGCCGAGCAGCCATAACGGCTTGGAGGACCTGCAACCTGGGCTGTGTTCCTCCCAGCGTTGTGGTGACCCGGCCAGTTACTGTCACTAAGGTCCATGACTTCCTGGCAAAGTCCCAGGTAAGCTTGACAGCTGACTGAAGGCATGTCAGGATTATTATTTGTCAGAACAGGAAGCTAGGCATAGGGGACAATGTCTGCCTGCAGGTCCGTTCGTCTTCCTGCACTTTTATTTCCATCAAGGGAGCGTCAAACTATTCTCCAGAGCACCCGAGGGCAGAACAAGAAACAGTGGTTGGAAACTGACTAAAGAGAGAAGCAACCTGGAATTAAGGAAAAACTTCCTGACAGTGAGGACAATTAACCAGTGGAACAGCTTGCCTCCAGAAATCGTGGGCACTCCATCACGGGAGGTTTTTAAGAGGAGACTGGACAGTCACTTGTCTGGAATGGTGTAGGTTCTCCTGCTTGAGCAAGAGGCTGGACTAGAAGACCTCCAAGGTCCCTTCCAGCTCTGTTCTATTCTATTCTAAAGTGTATCATCTGAAGGGGGCAGAAGCAGCCAGTCTTTGGGGTCCCTTCTTGGCTGCAGCGACGGACTGGAGGGGAGCCAGAAAGTCCGCTTCCAATGAGGTGGAGGTCTTGATGCGGGCTGAGCCGGTGCCTGCAGGGGTTCCAGGCCCATTTCCAGGCTTTCTCATCTCAGCCCTTCTTTCCTGACCAGGCTAGAGTTGCCCCTCTCCAGAGGCTCTTTTCCAGGGACGGCACCTGGAGAGAGGCCGGAGGTAGCGCTCCTTGGCACTCCAGTTATGTTAGCCAGAGTTAGCCAGAGGCTTCTTTTCATTCTCCCCACATGCATTTCCAAGCAGAGCGAATGTTTGGTCTTATGGATGTCACTGTTTTAATAAACATTTTGAAGGACTCTAACTGGGCACCTCAGCTGCAAACAAAGAAGAAAAGGAAAATAGCTGGGTCTTACAGATAAGTCCTCAACTTATGACCACAGTTGGGACTGGAATTTCAGATACTAGGCGTTATGGTTGTTAAGCGAGTCACCACATGACAGGACCTGATTTTTACCTCGGTCATTAAGTGAATCACCATGAAGCAAATCATGTTGCCGTTAAGTGAGTCCATGGTGATTGAGTGACTCTGGCTTCCCCTGTTGCTTGTTGGAAGCTGGCTGGGAAGGTGACAGATTGCAGGTGTG